TGTGCATTATGACTTGCGATTAACAAATCATCAACATACTGGACAAGCACCGTGTCTTGTGGCAGTTCTATATCGCTTAGAGCTTGTTTTAACACTTGATTGAAAATCCCCGGTGAGAGCGCAAACCCTTGCGGCAGTCTCGTATATGTGCCATACGAAATTTGCCTGTACCTGGCTTTTGTACAGGTAAAATTGGTATGTTCCAATTAGAGTATGAGGGTTCCAAGACCCCACTTTGTTTTAACCCCTCTATAGTTTCAGAAATTCCCTCTTCAGCGACGGGTTTGTGTGGATATTGTTTTAGCCAAATGGGATATGTGTTTTGGGCCTGAAATGATACAGGAGTGCAGTTTGTCAGTCCCACGTCCGTGGGTCCTGCAGACCATAACGATTCAGGCATTCTATCCATCAGCTGACACGAGAGCGGGTGGTCAGTCTGTTTACGTCCATGCTCCATGGGGAGGACATCGTGCTGTAATAAAGCTACATCATTTGCTTCAGAATCCACTAAATAACACTCACAGCTAGGCGAGAACCAGACATGTTGTACAGCTGTTTTTACCCAGTCTCTGGCTTCTGAAGCCATTTTTACCATTGGACCCAAATCTTTAGCTTGATATTTTGGATTTAAGCCCAGTGATATGTGAGGCACTGCTTCTGTGCTCATCATATACCAAGCTTCTTGGTCTAGAGTTAAGTTTACAATAGCTGCCACCCCTTGTTTTCCCACATAAATGTTACCTGTTTTAATTGACCAGATTTTCCCTTGTAGTTGCTCTGCAAAGTGATCCTGAAAAACCTCGTCACCTTTTCTGTCATAACAGAGGGTTACATGTAAAGGGTCTGAGAGCGGCGTGTATGGCTCAAGAGTCCGGAACCACAGCTCCCACGCCAGGTATGCAGAGCAAACACCCATTCCCCCAGGGATCTCAGGTTCAATCAGCCCCCAGTAAATGTCAGCATACTCGTCTTGGACGGGTTGGATCACACATTGAGAGTGGGAAATGGTGGCCTGTCCACAGTTCAAGGTGGTTCCATCCAGGAGCCGGACAATCAGTCCATCAGGTGCACAAAGAATGGACGCTTCAAGCTTTATGAGAAGATCTCTCCCAAGGAGATTCGCTGGTGCATTTTTCGCAATCACAAAAGGATGGGCCAGTGTTTGTGTTCCCACTTTAGTGGTAAGGGGAACTGTTACAGGCAGTCTCTGTTTTACCCCAGAAAATCCAACAACGTCCACTGACTGCTGTGACATCTGGCAGCCAGGTGATGTGTGGTTGATTGTTGAAAATGTCGCTCCAGTGTCGACTAGAAACGGCAATGTGTCAGTTCTCACTTCGACATCTAGCATTGGGTCTGCCCCTCCCCAAGCATATAAGATTTTTTGTGGGTCGTCTCATTGCTCTTGTGAGCCCCTCCATCCTTGCATCTGAGGGGGCACTTCTGCCTGCTGCTGGTATTGTGTTTGGCCTCTCATAGGTTGCTTGTACGGCCGCTGTTGTTCCCACATTGGCTGGTGGGGAGGTGGGCCTGGGTACATGCAATCTCTCGCCCAGTACCCCTGCTGACCACAGAGGAAACAAGCATCCCCCCGCCATCCCCAGCGCGAGACGCCACGTCCCCAACCCCTCCGCGCCATACCGCCACCCCTTCTCCCTCGTCCAGCTCCCCTGGCTGGATGTCCCCCTCTGGCCCGTGGACCAGATGTTTCAGACCACTGTTGCACAGCAACTACCCCTGGTGTGGAGGTTTCAACACCCTCCTGAACTGCCGTTTGTTTTTTCTCTTTCACTTTTTTCTCCTCATTTATTTTATGTCTGGCATCATTCAATTTAAGCTTAACCAACTGATTTTTCATGTCCTGTAACTCATTTGCTTCCTCCTCTCTCTGTTTGTTAGCATATTTAAGACGATGTACCACATGTCTCTCCCACCTCTCAGCATCAGCTGCAAGGAAGTCAGCGGGTTTTATTTTTTTTCTTTCGGGGTCATCTACAACGTCACTAGGCAAACCATCAAGTACAGCCTTCCTAAAATACGATTTTTGTTGTTCGGATTTCGCATGTCTACGATTGATTTTCAGCCAAGCATCCTGAGTCTGAGGCTCCTCTCAGAAGTTGTTGGTTCTGTCCAGAATGTCTTGGTCGTTGGTCCTGTTCAGCCAGCTGCTGGCTGATGTCTCTCCTTCGTTCTGCTTCCATCTTTCGGCTCATCCCTCCTTCATCACCTGCCTCCTCTTCCACTTCTTTCAAGCTCTCATTCACTATGTGTACGGTCCCTGATGTCACGTGTTTTACTGGGTACACTCCAGCAGGGGGCGCCGTTGGACAGGTCTTGAAGTCACATAGGGTGGAGGTTGTTTCCTTGTTCTTCAAACAACACTCAATATATTTTCTTCACTCCTTTTTATGCATTTTAATTGTTTAAATTTTTTCCATCTCCTCGTGTGCGGATTTTTAAATTATGAGTTATTTTTTCCATTGCCTCGTGTGCGGAATTTTAAATTATGAGTTATTTTTTCCATCGCCTCGTGTGCGGAATTTTAAATTATGAGATTTTTTTTTCTATCGCCTCGTGTGCGGATTTTTTAATTTTGAGTTTTTTATTTTTATTTTTTATAGCGTGGTTTCTACTTTTATTAATTTATTCGCGCATTTTCCACGTTCCCCGACTCGCGTTTTAAGCCTAGTTTTATTTGCCAATTCCGTCCGTTTAAGGGGTCCCTCAATTCCCCAGCCCGACGTCAGCTGAGCTCACGTGACCCAGTCTACGTTTAACTACCGGCCTGTCGACCGATAGGAGGCGCGCTACTGCAGAGATACTACTAGGATTTTTCTTCTTCCCTTATTTCTGTTTTTTGGCCTTAGTCTTTTTTATCTCTTATCTCTTATCTTCACTTTTCTCTTTGACCTTAGTCTTAGCGCTTCTCTTTGTTATTTGTACTGTATTATCCTATTATTCTGCACACTTTAAGCTCTGTGCTCAATGCCTCTAGTTATTATATTAACATAAGCTACTATCCCTCCTTTATTTCAGGAGACAGAACACACCATGAGGCTCCAATTTGGTTTACGGCCGAATAGCGGAGTTTTTGTGCCTTTCGGCCAACTTAGGTAACCCGCTTACCTGTTTTAATGTGAGGCGCCTCTCCTCTGGATGCGAACGGCCGCTCCGCTCATGGGTCGAATCTCAGCGCTCCTCGTGTACTCGAAGATCATCACATTGGGGTCACCCTCTGAAAGGTTTTGGGGTGTTCAAATGACCCGAGCACAGAATTTCAGGAGCACTTCACCTTAGTATTAAAGATTTAATTGAGACAAAGTTAAAGTATGCAGATATTATATGTAATCAGAATGCAGTCTGAGGAACAAAGTCAGAGCGAACCTTGCCTGGTCAATCAGCCTCGTGTTTGTTCAACCAAACCCTGTGTATTAGCGAGATTTATAGGTTTCTCATGTCCCGCCCTTTCGGGTTCGGACAGACTTGTGATTGGATGTCAAAACCTCTTGATGGTCCGAGTGACGCCATGTTCAGCCACTCAAGAGCAGATTTTATCTCCAGGGTTACTCCGAAAGCCCCAGACGGCCTCGCTCATTCTTCTACTGATAAGGGTTGATTTACGAGCTTTGTTTTGGAACGCAGGACACTTACTCTCAGCTGCTTTACTCAGAGAACCAAGAAGGATCGTTTCCTACTGCATGATTATCCTTAGCACTTGTGAGGTTATATATAACATGAAGTAATTAGTGTATGATTATACAGGCACACACCTTGTAGAAAATGTATCATTTCACATCATCAGAGAAATGTCAAGGCTTGTCAAAAGATATAAAAAGATATAAAAGATATCAAATCCAACACCTGCTAGGCTGCTAATGCTACACGTGCTACAAGATAATAGTGCCATACTGAAACGCATAGGAACTTTAGTTCCGCGGCACATATTCTCTCGTTAATAAAATTTAATGAATGAAAAAATAACGGGCAGCACGGTGGCGCAACTGGTAGAGCTGCTGCCTCTCAGCTAGTAGGTCCTTGGTTCAAACCCCGGTCTAGGGGCCTTCTGGGTGGAGTTTGCATGTTCGCTCCGTGTATGCGTGGGTTTTCTCCGGGTGCTCCGGTTTCCTCCCACAGACCAAAAACATGCATGTTAGGCTGATTGGTAACTCTAAATTGTCCCTAGGTGTGAGTGAGAGAGTGAATGTTTGTTTGTCTCATTTGTCTCTATGTGGCCCTGTGATGGACTTGCGACCCGTCCAGGGTGTACCCCGCCCCTCGCACAGTGATTGCTGGACATGGGCACCAGCGACCCCCGTGACCCAAAATGGAATAAGCGGGTAAAGATAATGGATGGATGGATGGATGAAAAAATAACCTAAACGGCACGCACGTGGACCGAATCGAACATGCTGTACCGAAACGGTTCGATACACCCACTTGTACCGTTACACACTAATATATATGTATATATGTACTTTGTACGCATATATGTATATGTACATATATACACCTGCCTGTACTCAACCAAATTCAATCATAATCTCATGAGCTGCTACCAAGGTGGGTACATATGAGTGGTTAGAGCAATCATCCTCCAATGGGAGAGTTGGGGGTTGGATTTCAGTCACATGTTGAAGTGTCCCTAGGCAAGACATTGAACCCCTCATAGTCTCTGATGTGTATCCCATCAGTATATGAATGTGATCTAAAGCTCTGATTAGTCTCTACAGATTCGGATTTTAATTGTAGAGGTGTAGTAGAGTACTGTAAAAATGTGTTTGTGGAGGTAAATGAGGCACATATTGTTGTAAAGAGCTTTGAGTATCTTGTTGAGATAGAAAGGCGATATATAAGTGCAATCCATTTACCATTTACAATAACAAAACATTTGCCTGTTTTCTCAGTTTTGAGTTGCCACTACTCTAAACTACTACTACTAATGAGAAAAGCTGGTCCAATAAAACATTATCTGATCTTTTTTTTTTTTTTGCAGTGTCAAACTAACCAGACAAACTTGAAGAGGGACATCATGGAAGCCCCTATTGTATGCTTGGATGAGGAGTTTGAAGATCTCCGATCTTATCGGTTGGATGATCTTGACCATCTGAGTTGCCCCTCTTACGCCACCACCACCACTTCTACAATCCCTCTGGGCTCCATCACTCGCGAGGACTTCTCAGAGCTGGAAAACTTTTCAGAAATGATAAGTTTCAAGTCAATGGAGGACCTAGTCAACGAGTTTGATGAGAAGCTCAACGTCTGCTTCCACAACTACAACACCAAGACTGAAGGCCTGGCACCCATACGTAACCAGTGCCACAACAAGGAGGATGAGGAGCGGCTGCAGGATGAAGAGTAAGTGAGCAAAACTCTCTTTGGGATTTGTTAAGGACCTACTTGGATTGTGTTTTGGCAGCTGCTGAGTACAGAGTCCTCACTTCTCAGTCCTTATGTTGTATTTGAATTATGGTCTACAAAGAACACTTTTGGTTTAGTTTGAGGAATTCATGCCAGGCTTTATTTAGAACCTGATGGTAGAGCTAGTTTTTGATGCCATCAGTCATTCATACAAAGGTTCTTGTCAAAGAACCACCTCCAAACCCAGGGAAAAGTTCACGATTCTATAAATGTTTGCATTAGTTTGTAATCTAGAAAGATACAGAGAGGTAAAGCGCAAAGAGTTGAAGAATTAAAGGCCTATCATTCCTTGAAAAAATGCATATCACCTGCAACGCCATACTAGAGTTTTAGAATAATATCATCTTTAGGGAGAATTGACAGAAATGTAGTCATTTTGGAAAAATCTTGAATCAAGCCTGAGATGTCACATTTTTGCCCATGTGTGTATTCATTTGTACCTTAAATAAATTGAGAAAGCTCCTCGGATGAGGAGCGAAACGTCTTCCGTTACAAATAAAGTCCAGTCGTTTTTGTATTGAATGTTTTTTGAATTTACCTTAAATGAAATATCACATGTACCACTGAATGGATTTTATTGAAAGTCTCACAAAGTAATCATTAGACGTGCATCTGGATAAACTTTTGGAGACTGTGTTGTTCAAGATGGGCACCAGAGCTAAGCAACCTTTGCAAACACAAAACGTAGCTAAAAACTAAAATAAAATAGCTCAAAACAACAGATGTTGGCTCTCAGCCATTCATTCAACCTTTATTTTGACAGGTAAATTAGCCAGTTTCACAAATATGAAGTTCATGTTTGGTATGGTATTAGCTGAGACTGATACCCAACACATACTCTAAGGTCAAAGTAATTGAGCAAGATCTGCTTCTAAAACTGTTCCCTTAACTACAGGAGTCATTCTATTGGCTAAACGTTGGTTACATACTGTAACCCCAGATTCTATGAGTTTAGGTGCAACCTTTTAAGGCTATCACTAGTGGGTTTATCCCTTTGCACACAGCACAGCACTAAAAATTTTAGTCTGCGCTCACCGGCTGTGTGGGACCCACCCCCGGTCCATATAAATTATGGTGAGACTGGGCAATCGGCTCCCAAATAACTTTTTTCTTCAGCCATTTAGGAACCAGTGAGGCCCAGAGCTTAAAGGACTGCACCTATACTCATAGAATCTGGGGTTACAGTACGTAACCAACGTTCTATTTCGTACAGGCTTCGTCCTTTAAGGCTATCGCTAGTGGGTTAGGGCGAAGCAGGATGTAGTCTATGCCTCACTGGGTCCATTCAAACACAAAATGAAGCACCTGCTTGCACAAAGAAACATTTCATCACTCAGCCTTCTGTGTGCGTAATTACGCACTGCGTAATTCCATGATCCATGCATAGGAGCGCACCGGAGAAAAGATCTCTGGTGAAGAAAAAGGTTGAGATAGCAGACCTGCTGCTGTCAATAGGAACAACGGAAGTTACACATTGTAACAGTGTAACGATGAACAGAGCAGGCCAACAGCTCCTCAGGATGAGCCGATTAATAACAATAAAATCAGCAGTCTTGAACTTGTGACTGATAATAAATATCTCACACTGCAACTGCATGCAGGCAGGTGTGAGCTCAAAAGTGAGGCTGGCTCCATGAAACAAATAATAATCATTCTGTCAGAACCCTAAGAACAGAATGGGTCATGGAGAAAGTAGAATCATCACATAGATAAAAACAAATAATTGAACATGGCGATGACCAGGCAGCCGCCATACAAATATCCTCCACTGTCATCCCTCCATGCAGAGCCATGTAGGATGAAAACCTTCTGGTGGAATGCGCTGAGATTCTCTGGAGGATCCAGTCCAGATTAACTGTAAGCTTCAGAAATAGCCTCACACAACCAGTATGAGAGGCGCTGGGTGGATAGAGGGAGTCCTGAAGAACTGTCTGTTAGGTATTTTCTCTCGTACCCAACAGAAAAAGAAGAACACCACACAGGACAGAGTAAGGTTTTTTGGCCAACGCTCCTTGCAAGGAGGGAAATCCACCTCTGGTCTGGAACCAGAGGTGAACTCCAAAGCCTTGCTGTTAGAACTGGCTTTTATTTGGTAAGAGTGACACATAAGTGTTTGGCTTGGAACACTTTTTGATCAGAACAAAACATCTTGTACAGGTTCAGTTGATTAAATGCTTATTGTAATGAGTTTCTGATACCATCTGTATCAGTTGAAATCATCTGTATCAGTTTAAGGGTGAGGAGAAAAACAATGACAGTGCTAGAATACTAGTTGATACGTTTTGACATGTTTGGTTTTTAACAAACAGTTCTAAGTAAAAACAGCTTATGTAAATACAGAGAATTACTATCAGCTCGGATGTGGACTGATAGTATCAGAAACTTTTTGCTTTATATGCATAGAAGTACAGGAATCATGAAGCAAATTAAAATGGTAACATGAAAAACTCTTACATTTCCCTCCTGTTTATCAGTTTAAACTCATTGAAATCATAAATCATAAAAAGAAAAAAATTAACACACATTCCTACAGAATTTTAAATCATAAAAATAAAATTTAAAGAACAAAAATAATGAAGGATGAAAAAATGATTTGCTTCACATGTTTGAGATTGATTAAATGTCCTGTTAAACTTGTGAGAATGAAAACAGCAAGGGTTTTAAATATTTTTGAAAGTAGAAACTTAACCCTCACTAAAGGTAAATTCAAATTGTGAAGCATTGAACTTTAGCTAATAGGAATTGCTTATCTGAAAAAAAAATGAATAGGAAAGAGTGTACAATGCATCTCTTTTACACAGCATCATCATACTTTGATCGTGTCAGTGGAGTGTAATTTTCTTGGTTTAACCTTGACAGGTGAAGGCTGATTAAAACACCTGTAAAGCTTTCGTCATCATTGTTTTCAAAAGTGGGAGGACACATGTGTTGAAAGCGCAGAAGAGGACGAGTACTACCAGGATGGGGGTGCAAATCTTCAGCAGCAGATGCCACCCTGGTCCAGACTTGAGCCATAAAAGAAGGTCAAAGGGTTGTGCTCCTGATGTTGTACTGTCCACATACTATTTCAGCAGTTCTAGGTCGTTCAGGACATCATGGATGTCTCCACCAGTTCCAGTTTCATCTGGGATGTAGGTGCAACATGTAGTTCCTATAATCTTACATACCCCTCCTTGTGAGGCGGTGAACAGGTCCAAGATGACGCGGTTCTGGATGATCATGTCTCTCATTGCAGTCAATTCCTTTGTTGTTCCATTTGCCAGTCCGTAGGTGTCGTTGATGTGGCGTAGAAGTGCATAACTGGTGATCTCGGCACATTGTTGAACTTCTGCAGTTCCCACTCACGGGAATAGGCCTTGAAAGACTTTTTCACCTCCATTCTAGATCCTGTATTCCCATGGGGTGCCGGTGCTGGTGGTGAGGCCTCCCCATTGGTGCACTTTGGACATCAGTGAACATTTCTTCCTGATCAGTGGTGTAGAGGCTTTTCTGAGGAGCATCACAGGGCTAGATAGGGGGACCAAAGCACAAAGCCCCCCCCCCACCCCCCACCCCCCCAGTGTGGTTGTAGTGCAGTGTAAGCTCTGTAGCTACACAGGAAGTACCAGTCACCCAGAATTCTGGAGCCTCTGTCTCCTGGCACGGTGGCACTGTAGCCAGTGGTGTTTTGACGTCCTTCTGTCTGTCGGCTGATGTTTAATGTAAGGCGTTGGAGATAGCGTCCGCATTTCGGATTCTGGTATGGAGTACAGTTGCCGGTGGTATTCTTGCTTGTCACACAAGAAAAACATTTTAAAAACTTGGGTGTGTAGTCACAGAAAGTGAGTACCTTTTCACACATATTACATGGGACGGAGCCCATGGTTGTGGTCCCATTGTTGAACACACAGTGGCCAAGGAAGCCGGACCTTGCTCTGGCTACTGCCCACCACGATCTAAGGATTTTATAAATGAGTTTTCTGACTTCTTGGCTGAAATCACACCAAAATATGAGTATGTTTTCATTATTGGGGACTTTAATTTGCACGTGTGCTGTCCTGAGAAGCCCTTGGTTAAGGACTTTTTAGATTTATTGGACTCATTTAATCTAACTCAGCATGCAAACTGTCCCACCCAAGAGTGTGGACATACACTGGACCTTGTTTTAACTCATGATGTGACTGTTAATAATCTTGTTATTGGTGATAATGTTTTGTCAGACCACATGCCAGTCTGGTTTGAGTTCACCCTCCCCCATCTAACTCCTAATCCATGCATTCCTGCACGTCGCAGCCGGGCAATTAACCACTTCACTGCCGCACGTTTCACAGATGTTTATAACTCTGAAATGATAATTCAGCCCCCGGTGTTTCTCACCGCCACTAAGGAGCTGACATCCCAGTTCAACTCTGTCTGCTTAAAGACTCTGGATCATGTTGCGCCTGTTAAAACCAAAAAATCAAAACTCAGAGCAGAACCTTGGCTGAGTGACGTCACCAAGGCCGTTAGGCAGCAATGTAGGAGGGTGGAACGAAAGTGGAGGAAAGACAGGCTGCAGGTCTCTTTTCAAATACTTAAAGAGAGTTGGCGCCGTTATCAGAAAGCAGTAAAAGCTGCTAAATCCAAATACTTCTCTGATATAATTACCTCAAACTCTCACAACCCACATGTCCTCTTCTCCACCCTAAACTCTGTTCTCCACCTCACTGAATCATCACCTCTGGAAGCCTCAACTGAGCTGTGTGACAACTTCTTACATTTCTTTTTTTTTTAAATTGTGACCACCCATGCTCTCATTTCCCCTCCAACTCATGACCCATCCATTCTACCTCAATCTGTAGCTCCTTTTGACCATTTTGAACCCATCACTCTATCTTCTCTAGAGCAGGTCATGTGCAGCTTGAAACCTTCTGGCTCCCCCTTTGATGTGGTCCCCCCTCGACTACTAAAGGAGGTTT